CTTGCCAGGTACAATATTCTTGGTTGAAATTGCTTTACCCTTAACACTTTGAATATATTTTCCCATTCTTTCCTCGCTTGCATTGTTTCTGATGAGAGGTCTGCTATTAGCCTGATGGGATATCCTTTGTAAGTAACTTGTTTCTCTCTGGCCAATCTTAGTATCTTGTCTTTGTCTGTGGTTTTGGTCAATCTGGCTATAATACATCTTGGAGATCTTCTTGGGTTGATTCTATTTGGGGTCCTTCGTATTTTGTGGGACTGGATCTTAGACTGCCTCTATAGGTTTGGAAAGTTTTCTTGCAGGATTTCATGGAATAGATTATCAATGCCTTTATGAGTCTCTTCACATTCTGGGATACCAATTATCCAGATGTTTGGATGTTTTATGGTGTCTAGTATTTCTTGTATATTATTCTCACTTTTTTTTTTTTTTTACAATTTTCTCAGTCTTCATGGTGGATTTTTCTAGGCCAGTGATTCTATCTTCTACATCTGAGATTCAATTTTCTGTATGATCTAGTCTCCTTTTAATACGTTCAAGGGAGGTTTTGACTTCCTGTATTACAACCTTCATCTCTAACAGTTCCATTTGGTTCTTTTTGATGGTATATATGTCCTCTTTCAGATCATGGAAGAATTTCCTCACCTCCTGGAACTCTTTGGTTCCTTTCTCCTGCCTCTTCTGCAGTTCGTTGTCTCTCTTTTCTTCTATCTCTATTAGCTTTGTCACTATGAATGTCCTAAATTCTTTATCTGACATTTTCATGAGTTCCATTGTACCATCTAAGGATAAAGAGGAGTTATTCTTTTCCCTTGTAGGAGAGGTATTTTCTTTCTTTCTCTTATTTCTTGTGACCCTGCAGTAGTTTCTGGTCATCTGATGGATTGTTCATTTCTTCCTAATTCTTGAAGTTCTATCTGAGGCATGCAGGAGAAGGTGATCTGCAATCTCTCTTCTGTTTCATTTTTCACTCTTTGTGCATCAGATAAAGTAAGAATTGAGGAATATTCTGACCCTAATTGTATTCAGATGTTTGGATACTGTTCACTTGGACCTGTCTAGACAATCAGTGCATGGAGGCCGAGCTGCCAAGGAATGAAGTTAAAGGAAAAAAGAAAAGCTTTAGAGAAGAGGAATAGAGAAGAAAATAAAAAAGAAGAAAAAAGACAATAAAAAGTTTTGTATTTTAATTTTAAAAAGCAAAAAGTGAAAACTACACAAAAGCAATATTTCACAGCTCAAGTTCACTAGCCATCTCAGGGTGGGCCTGAGTTCATATCTTTCCTAAATGGGATGGGGAAAGGCACAAATTAGCATGATAAAGGAGGAGCTTGAGAGCCCAGAGCAGTTGGCTTAATGGCTAAGTTGTTGGACTCCCATGTAGTCGACCACTATTCTAGTCCCAAACCCAGTGGCTTAAACTCATGCCAGGTACATGTGTATGCGTGCTCAAGATCCCGAGAGGAGAATGGAGGAGAAGGGACTGTGGCGTGGCCATCCCCCTTGGGGGATGATTTCTCACTTTCTGTCTCTCTGTCTTTCTAGTGAGCGCACGTGCCCCATAGCAAAAATCTCTCCAAAAAATAATTAATTAATTAATGATGACAAATTAAAAGACAGACAGGGAGAGACAGAGAAATGGAGAGAAGGTTATAGAGGTAGCCCTACCCACTAGAAATGAATCTGGAGGGAGAAGTCTCAGCAGAAGATCTTCATGTTTGTCCCTGAAAGCAGTATTTCACAGCTCAAGTTCAGTAGCCATCTCAGGATGGGCCTCGGTTTGTGCCTCTAGACACATTTATTCTGTCATTTCTACTTACAGCCAATGATTTTGGTTGCTATATGTTTGGTCTTGAATGTACAATGGAAAGTTGAAGTAAAAAATCACCTAAGAAATCAATATGAACTATCCTCTCTCTTTACTTTTCCGGTTATGTAATTTTCTTTACTACTGGGTTTATTTTTTTCCATCACCATCATCTTCATCATTATCCAAATGTTTTCATTTCATTTTCTTTTGTTCATCAGTAAGTTAAAACAAATATATCACGATCTGTATTTTACTTTGTTTTTACCTTTTCATTTAAAAATCTTTTTATTGGGATGAGCAGATGATGTAGTGGTTATGCTGCTAGACTCCCACAGTCGCTCCTGGGAGGAGAATGGAGGACAAGGGATTGTGGTGTGACCATCTCCTCTTGGGAATAATTTTCACTCTCTCTCTCACGGTCTCTGTCACTCTTTCTCTTTCCGGCGAACATGTGTGCCTTAAGACAAAAATCTCTAAAAAAATATTATTTAAAAGAAAATCAATAACACAAAAGAGTCAAAACCAAATCAACGTCACTGAAAACATTTTCTAAGACCTCAGATTAATATAGCTTCAGGATCCCTAGGACACATGTATCCTGAAGAATGGCATAATGAACTATAGTACAGACATACCACAACATTTAGTGTTTCCAAAAAATCTTTTGCTTAATATTTTTGTAAATTTAGCTGCTAGGATCTTTCTATTTTGTTGAAGATGTGCTAAATATATATAATCTATGATTCAGATCTTACTGTAGGAGTATAGTCTAGACATTGTGGCTTCATAGAGTATATTGATAAATGTCATTGAGTCTCTACAATTTCCTCTTTCTAGGTGGTTAAATAATTCCCTTCTCTGGGTGTAAAAATTGCTTAATAATGTCATACAATATCAGATCACTCTTTTGTAGATGTATTTTCCTGTCAAGATTATTGCTCCCATAAGCTTACAATAAAGCCACTTTGATACAAGGAGAATAGCTACAATTATTTTACAGATGGGAAAACTGAAGGTACAGAGAACTTATAATAATGTAGATACAGAGCTTGTCATTAGACCCAGGTACTTCCACCATTTGAGAGTCTTAGTATTTAAATTTATAAAGTTTTCAGTGTTATCTCTTCTATTACTTTACTTAACAACTTAGCAAAGAGAATTTTTTTGTTATTTCTCCCTGTATTAATGAAAAATGAGATGCAATAAAATTTTTACTTCATTTGATAGGTTACTCATAAAGATCTTCTGAAGGTATAAATATGAGAACCATCAAACTTATCAGAGTAGAAAAATGAAATGGCTCTTACCAGTTATGAAAAGGTCCTATAATTTATTAATAAAATCTGATTATAAGGAATTAGAAAAAATGGTGGAAGACTGAGCAGATAACTTGTGGACTGATAAATTAAAAACTGATTAGAATACGAGCCCACCACTTGGCACAGTGGTTAAGTGCAGAATATCAGAGGCTGGATCCCACATGGTCTGCTGTGGTTGAAATCCAGGCCCAGCAGCTTGAAAAACATGCAAAGTGTGTGTTCCTATGCGCCCCAAATCCTGACAAGACAGAGAAGTGAAGGGGAAAGGATTTCAGTTTGACCACATCCTATGGGAAGTGCTTTCTCTCTCTCCCTCTTCCTCTTTATGATAAGCATGTGTGCTTTCTGGCAATTAAAGAAAAGAAAAAAAATGAGTAGAATAGAGAGTTCACAAACAACTTCATTATAAAGATGACTTTAGTCAATAGAAAAATTGTTACTTGTGTTGGGATAAGTGGGGACCAGTTTGGAAAAACAAAGCTAAAATAACCTGATTTATACCTCACACTATGTATTAAAATGTCCCAGAAAATGTAAATGTAACTATAAAAACACAAAAAAAACTAATAGAAAATAATCTTATTAAATTAGGTAAAGAAATATTTTTCAGTATAACACTAGCACCAGGAACCAAACCTATCACACAAAATTGACTGCATGAAAATAGAAGAATTCCATATAGCAAAATACAACATAAACAATATTGATAATAAATGATAAGATTGGAAAAGAATTGTCATGTCTGAGGGACAAAGTGTTATTATTTTCTATCCATAAAGAGCTTCTACAATATGGTAATTAACAACCTACTAGACAAATAAACCAAAAAAAAAGTAAGGGCCAGCAGGTTTCACAGTGTTTATGGGGCTAGACTCCCACGTGGTCTATTGCAGTTCAAGTCCTTGACTTGGTGGCTTGACAATCGCACCGGGCATGTGTGTGCACATGCCCAAAATTCCAGGAAGAGAAGGGATTGCAGCATAGCCATCCCTCCCAGGGGGTGATTTCTCACTTTCCACCTCGCTGTCTCTCTGTCTCTCTTCTTCAGTGAGTGCATGCACACTATGGCAAAAAAGGGAGAATATGTAGAGCAAATAGAAATTAAAAACAAGAAAACAACATTTTTAACCTGTAAGTTATCAAAGATTAACACTAAATAAATATGGGCAGTTTTGACAAGAGAATGTCAAGAAAGAATGTCTTTAAGTTTTAATGCTAATATAATTTGGTACCTTTTAGACATTGGTAACATTGTATGTATGTTTATGTGTGTTTATGTAAAAAAATGCATGAATGTAACTTGAACTATTAAGAGTAATTGGGAAATTGTGTGCTGGGTGTTGGCTTTTCAACAGTTGAAATAGTTGACATGTAATTATTTTCTCAAAAATATTTAAAACCATACTATCTCTGTTGTTATAGAGTCACAAACAAAATTATAACAAATATTTTCAAAGTTATCTTTAAAATTTAGTTTTTTGAAATTTTGAAAGTTGTTTATTAGCTGTCAAGAACTATAGAGTATGAGCAAAAAATTTTTGATATGTAAAGTAAATGTTTGTGGGAAAATGTAAAAACATAATTCATTAATTAAGTTTTAAAAAGAGTAATTGGGAAATGGGATTTACAATGGCCCTAAACGTAATTCGAATAATGTTATGTTGCAAAGTTATGTTGACTTGTGAATAACTGTTTTGTCCAAAACACAATTATTGGGTCACTGGAAAGATCATGACATATTTTTTCTATGTAAAGATGTCTCATGACTTTTACAACAACCCAATATATACAAAACAGAGAAGTTTCATAATTTTAAAATAATCAATGATTAACTCAAGGATCTTTCTTCAGGCTTAAGAAACGTCAGAATAATGGTTGGAGGAAGAAATAGTACAACAGTCACCAAATTCATCCTTTTGGGATTCTCAGATTTCCCCAAGTTCAAGATTGTTCTCTTTACAGTATTCCTGGGAATTTACTTCTTGACGGTCACCTGGAATCTGGGTCTTATCATCCTCATTAGGATGGACTCCTGCCTACATACACCCATGTACTTTTTCCTCAGCAATCTTTCCTTCTTAGATTTCTGCTATGTTACCTCCACAACTCCCAAGATGCTCTCAGACTTCTTTAAGAAGCCTAAATCCATCTCCTTTATGGGATGTACCATGCAGTACTTCTTCTTCTCTAGCCTGGGTCTGACTGAGTGCTGTCTCCTGGCAGCCATGGCTTATGATAGATACGCTGCCATTTGTAACCCTCTGCTGTACACAGCCATCATGTCTCCCTCCCTCTGTGTGCAGATGGTGGCTGGAGCCTACATAACTGGTATCTTTGGTTCATTGATCCAACTATGTGCCTTACTGAAGCTCGATTTCTGTGGACCAAATGTCATCAACCACTTCTTCTGTGACCTGCCTCAATTATTAGTTTTATCCTGTTCTGAAACTTTTTTCCTACAAGTCATGAAATTTGTAATAGCAGTGATATTTGGTGTAATATCTGTGTTAGTTATTGTGATATCCTATGGTTATATTGCTGCCACCATCTTGAAGATCAGCTCAGTTGAAGGCAGGTCCAAGGCCTTTAACACTTGTGCTTCTCACCTATCAGCAGTGTCTTTCTTTTTTGGATCAGGCCTCTTTGTCTATATGCGTCCCAATTCTGGTAATTCTTTGGGTTATGACAGGATGGCATCAGTGTTCTATACAGTGGTGATTCCCATGCTGAACCCTTTGATTTACAGCCTGAGGAACAAAGAAATCAAAGATGCCCTTAAGAGGTATAAAAATAAGAGACTGTTTTTTCACTCTCACTGTTCATTAACAATCTGATAGACTAGCGACCCTGCTGACTGGAAGTTTCAAGACTATGCAAGGGAAATCCATTTAAGATTATTCAACTTCATCAACATTCTGGAAGGGTTGCAAGTGAGTCGACCTATCTAAATCTAGGACTGGCTCAGTGCCATGCAAATTCTGTGGCTTTCTTGAGCTTGACTGTTGACCCACCTTTCCTACCCCAGCAGAGAGCTTGCTAAGCAGGTGATATGTCAGGTTTTTTTTAAAAGCAGTAACCTTCAGTTCTTTGGCGTCCAACTTTTATAACTTCTTTCAAAACTTCAGACTGTAATTGGAGGGAATGGACTAAACATAAAGCAAACGGTTCTTCTCGTATGCATCACAAGCAGTGCAATGACCACTTTGTCCTATATTTCAGACTCTTAGGATGCCTGGGTAAATTCTAACTGTTTGAGGTAGGTATGTGGAGGAAAACATAATTTTAGATTTAAACTAACTTTCCTGCCAAGGAAATATGCCACAGGGCATTCGATCTAGAACTTGTTTTCTAGCATCATAGTTTAAAAACTAAACATAAGGGGTCAGTGAGTGGCATGGTAGTTTAGGCACTGGACTCCCATGTAGTTGACTGCGGTTTGAGCCCTAGACCTAATGGCTTAAAACTCACACCAGGCACGTATGCATGTGTGGCCAAAATCCCAAGAGGAGAATGGAGGAGAAAGGATTGTGGTGTGGCCATCCTCCCCAGAGGGCGATTTCTTGCTTTCTGTCTATCTCTCTGGTAAGTACACATACTCTATGGCAAAAAACAAAACAAACAAACAAAAAACCTCTCAAACATAAAAACTAAACATAAATGTTTGCATGAGCATAAAGAGAGAAATTTCTGTGGTACTGATCTGCCTTTGGAGAGCTAAAATACAAAAGAAAAAGTAATCATTTGGACTATAAAACATTGGAAAATTTCCGTTTCTGTTATCATGACAGACTGGATAGCATAAATATACCTATGGCTGCAAAACAACAAAAGATGTTGGGTAAAATATTTTTCAGAAAATATTTTAAAATATATTTTTGAGTAGACAAGAACAGAAAGAAAATCTCCAGTACCTAATTATAAAATAAAATCAGGAATCTCGAGAGCAGAAGCAACTCTGAAGTTATCTTTCACATCAAGAGAATCTATGAAACTCTGGTAATATTAGGCCTATAAGTTGACAGCTACATGGGATGTGTGAAAGGAGAGAAAAAGCTTGGGGCTGCCTGAGTCTGACAGGGGAACCAGAGATATATGTATATGAGAACCCAATGGACTATATCTTTAGTGTGAGAGAAAATTAAAGAACAACTACTACGAAATCCTGTTTCAAAAAAAAAAAGAAAGAAAGAAAGAAAGAAAGAAAGAAAGAAAGAAAGAGAGAAAGAAGAAAAAGAAAAGTAAAGAAAATCTCAACTCAGCCTTTGTGCTAGGTATAGGGAAAAGTAAACAGAATTTGTGACCACATGCCCTCATGGAGGTTGTGGTCTGAATTCACATTTCCTAAGTAGTTCAAAGAATCTTTTGCTGATCATTTATTTTAAAGTAGTCCCTGTTTGGAAGTACCCTCAAGTAGGCATCAGTAACAAAAGCAAAGCCTCTCAAGATTCCCAAGAATCTTAAACCTAGGCTCAAACAATTCTCCATAATAATCTTCTAAAGAAAATTAGGCTATATGCATCTCAAAATACTAAAGGAAATAAGGCCTTATGGGTAAAACTTTAGAAAGCACAGCAGTGTCAGATCCATAAAGACTTCAGGAATAGCAATCATCTCAATTAAAAGATGAAATTGATGCTATTGGCATGTTAAAAATAAAAGAAGGGTAACTGAAGATAAGGTTAAAAGAATGGGCAATTATGTTTATGAAGGAGTTCATGTCTGACAGTTTGGTGAATTTAATTACATCTAAATAATAATCCTGACTGAAAATGGAAATATTATATTTGAAATAAAATTATCTTTTTTTAAAATTTGCTATAGGATGTATGCACTCGCTGGAGAAAGACTGAGAGAGAAAGAAAACGAGAAAGCACTCCCCAGTGGGGATGGCCTCACCACAATCTCTTCTTCTCCATTCTTCTCTTGGGATTTTGGCATGCAGATATGTGTACCTGGCATGTTTTTCAGGCCACTGGGTCCAGGACTTGAACTGCAGTCAGTCATGTCGTCTCTTGCTGCCTTAACCACTATGCTATCAGCTGGCTTGAAATAAAATAATCTTATATATGTATTTCTACTTAATGAAACAAGAAATAAGCTAATCTTTCCAATGAAATAAAACTGGAAAATGAAAGAAGTAAAAAAGTGCTACATAGGGAACCAGCAGTTAGCGTAATGGCTATGTCGCTGGATTCCCACGTAGTCGACCGCAGTTCGTGTCCCGGACCCAGTGGCTTAAAACTCACACTGGGCACATGTGCGTGCGTGCCCAAGATCCCGAGAGGAGAATGGAGGAGAAGGGATTGTGGCGTGACCATCCCCCCTGGGGGGTTATTTCTCGCTTTCTGTCTCTATGTCTCTCTCTGTCTGTCTGGCGAGCACACGCACCCTACAGTGAAAATCTCTCAAAAAAAAAAAAAAAGTGCTACATAGCTTTCACCTTGGGGAGCTGGTCCTGCTGGAGCTGGAGATCCCACACTTCTGCCATGTAGACTGCAGGGATGGTGAGAGGCCAGAGGATTAAGGTCAAGGCATGGCTCTTAGCCTAAAAGGTGACGTGTACAGAACACCCAGAGGGCTATGGCCTTGGTTATAAATAAGTAAGAATTCCTACAGGTTATGGTCAAGAGATAACAACAACAACAACAAAAAAAAACAAAATAGTTCACAGAAAAAAATAATTTACAAATACACAGTCAAGCTCCCATAATTGAGAACCAGCAGGGAAAAAAATTAGACCATATATACAGACTTACAAACCCCTCAGATACTGGATTATCACTAAAAAGAATAACCTTATAGTATAGTCAGTAGGAAACGGAATCACATTGTAGGAAGCCACATGGCTGACTGGGGTTCAGTTTCCCTGGCTGGCTTGAAAAGACGCTGGGCATGTGTGCATATACCCAAGATCTTGAAACTGACGCGCTAGGGAAAGGCAGTTAGGGCAATGAGACCCTGTTGAGGATGCTCCCCCTTTCTCTCTTTCTCTCTCTTATACATACTCACGTGCTCTCTATCCTATCTATCTATTATGGGGGGTGGGGAATCTACAAAGCAGTTGGGACTAGCTATGGTAAAACACAAATAACATCTTCTCCAGAAAGAGATATGTCTTCTCTAAAGGGAGAAGTACTGAGAACAAGTCAGAGATCTGGTGATTCAGAACACTGAAAGTAATGAATTCAAATGAAGAAGCTTAGTGTATCCATGGAGTGGAATATTGCTTGGCCATAAAACGAATGAAGTCCTGACACATGTTACAACATGGATGAACCTTGAAAACATCATGCTAAGTAAAAGAGCCAACCACAGAGGACCACATGTTTTAAAATCTAATTTTAATGAAATATTCAGAACAGGCAAAGCTATATAGAGAGAAAGTCAATTAGTGGTTACTAAGGATGCAGGGGTGTAGAGAAATGAGGGGTGACTGTTAATGAATATGGAATTGATTTTTATGAAAATGTTTTCTATTAGATTGTGGAAATGGAAACTGAATATGCTAAAAAGCTACCGAGTTGTACATTTTAAATGCATGGATTTTATAAAACGTGAACTATAACTCAATATAGCATTTTGGGTTTTGTTTTTTTAAAAAGGCCTGATACAGTGGTACAGTAGTAACACAATGCTTGATTACACTGAGGTCTTATGGGAAGGTCCCAGGCTACTGGTCTGAGGTGCACACATGCCCTTGGTCCTGGTTGCGTGAGGTTGGGATGGATTGTGGCATGAAGATCTTCTTGGAAGTGCCTCTTTCTCTCTCTCATGGAAGAAATAAACTTCAAAGAAATGAAAGAAAGAGAAAGAGAGAGAGAAGAAAGGAAGAAAGAAAGAGAAAGAAATGAAAGAAAGAGAAAGAGAGAGAGAGAGAAGAAAGGAAGAATGAAAGAAAGAAACAAGGGAAAAGAAAAGGATATGATAGCAAGATTTAAAAGTGCACAGGACCAAAGGTGACATCCTTAGAAAGGTTCCATTTCTGAGATGAGTATCTCTTAGAGATATGATGAAAAAGAAAAAAAAATAAGAAGCAAGCCATGGAAATGAAAAGTTCTAAGAAAATTTTAAAAATCAAGTGTAGGAGGTAGCAGGTGGTGTGGTGATTAAAGGAGCTGGACTCCCACATGGCTGACTACAGTTCAAGTCCTGGACCTGGTAGCTTGCTTTCACATCCTGACACCACCCCCCACCCCGTGTGTGTGTGTGTGTGTGTGATCAAATTGGAAAATAATAACAAAGTTAAAGTAAAATTAATTCTAAAAAGAAAAATCGAATATAATGCTAAGTCATCTCAGTTCCTCAGTAATTCACCATAAACGAAAGAAACTGCTCTTCTCTATACCAAAAGAAGAGGACACAAAAAACTAAGGAATGCACAGAAAACACTCATGTCCTATGTGACCCCTGAATAGCCTGCACAGGCTTGGACCGCAAACTCTGGTAGAGCTATGACTGGCTAGAACCACCAAGACTCCAGCAACTCCTCTGCCTGCTTGCTATGGCATGGTCCAGATACATCAGTCACCAGCAAGGCACGTCCTTGATAACTCCATATTCTTGGTTCAGAACTGAGCCAAATGAGGAAGGAAGAAGAGAAGGACAGCCTCTTTGGTTAAAAGTAGAAACAAAGAGATTTACATAGGTTTCCTCGAAATAGTCATTTCTCTTTCTGCATTTAAAATACAGGTTGACTTCTACCACTGTGAGTTATATGGACTGCCAGTGGTTATGAAGACCAAATTAACCAATGAATACGTAATGGAACAAAGTTATGTATGTTGACTGCTACAAGACATCCAAATGTAAAATCTTGCTAGACTGTCATTAACCAGTAGAGGGAGGCCCATCCCAAGAATCTGCAGTAACAATAACAAAACAAAGGACAAGGCTTAGAGTCTTGAGTAATGAGAGTGACAATACTGACTTTCACGTGTAACTCTTTAACGTTCACATCTGTGAACCTTTCTTTAGGCTTCATGACAGCTATGAACCCCTTATCTCACGGATGAGAGTTGAAGCTCAGCTCCCATTTGCTGAAGGTGACCCAGCAAACAAACAGCAAATGAGGGACCAGACATGCACCTTCACCAGTGTCAAGTCATCCGAGAGGTCAGAATGTTAACACCCCACCCACAATGGTCCACACTAGATATTCTTTTTCCTAAACAGTTGCCACTACAACTAGAATGATCCCTGTAAGTATCTCGGCATGCATATCTGCAAAGGCTGAATAAATCCATCTCTGCTCTATCCCTAGTAGTCTACATTATTCAGTGGTCTCATAACTTCTTAATTGTCTTTTTTTTTTTTTTTTTTTGCCAGAAGGTATATGTCTTTGCCAGAGACAGAAAGAAAGAGAAAAAAAAATAACTCTGCAATGGATCATGGTCATGCTACAATCCCTTCTCCTTCATTTCTCCACCTTGCCAGGATTTGGGGCATGTGCACACATGTGCATGGCATGTCTTTCAAGCCACTGTGGCTGGGATTTAAGCTTCACAGTAAACCATGTGGGATCCAGCTGCCATAGCCACTAGGCTACATGGCTGGCCCTCTTTGGTCTTTGGAGAAACATAAGAAAACTCTGACTATAAGAAAAATTCCTCTTGAAAGGTATTCACAAGCTCTTTGCAAGTAACTTTGACTTATCACATCTCATCTGTAAAAGCAGCATTAAAACAACCTCCCTTCCTACTTCACAAGATGCAGAAAGAAGTGACATCCTACTTAAAGAGGTGGATGGAGCTAAACAACTTCGATATCCTCTCTTACCCTTATTCAGGAGAAAGACTGTAATCAGAGAACTCATCCAGGCAGTGCTGGATTTATGACCTACAGAACAATGAAACAATGTCCATTGTCTTAAACTGCTAAATGTGTGTTAATCTGTTATGCAGTGATAGAGACCTAATAACCCTCTTTGCAGATTTTATTATGTTTCGGTGTGAAACTACTCCATCCAAACTTTGCAGCTCTATCCTGGTGAAACATTTATCTTTCAAAAATCTCTTTGTGGAGAAGCTGCTCTATTCAATTCAGGAAACAGTTGCTGAGCATTTATTTGATGATGGGCACTCTGATAGGTGTTGAAATATAAAGATGAATAAGAAATTCAATGGTAAAAATGTTCAAAAACCTTACATAAGCAGATATGACTATTATCTAAGTCAGAAACTAATAAAAGTCAGTAGGGAATGAGTACAAGCTATGAAGATTCAAGACAGGGAGAAACCCAATTTGGTTGAGAATATCAAGAATGGTTATTTATTTATTTGTTTTTTCCAAAATCGCTGTTTTTATTTATACAGAGTCCTAACCACTTCAGCAGTAGGAGAAGTGGAAGAGGTTTTTTTTACAATCCAGGGGCCTCCATATGTTGGTTTGTTGTGACCAAACCCACAGACAAGTGGCATCATGGATTTGGTAAACTAATGACAATGTTTAGTCTCTCTCTGCTAGAGCCACAAGGTGAGCGTCAATCTCTGCTTCTGTAAGAATCCTGAATTTAGGATTTCCAACTGTAACTACTCCAGCTTCTATTTCTGAAGGTTTGAAATCAATGGACAGAACAGTAGACCGGCGTGTGATTGCAGTTCCCACTGTCTGTTGAAATGTCTAATCAAATTTCTTCACTTATTTTTCAAGGAAGCTGGTTGACTCAGTTTGTTTAACTCCTGTGGCAGTGGCTTTAAACCCACAGTAGTAACCTGCAGGATCACGCTTGTACACCTGAGGACCTTGCTCTTCATCTATACCAGTTAATATCATACAACAACCAAGAGGCCTCATCTCAGCATTCTGTGTGTAGACCTGAGAAATACCAGCAATTCTTTTACACAGCATGTCCACAGGAATCTCATAACCATACTTGTATTTCCAATTAACTGCCTCATAGCATGTACCTGGGATCAGCTGTCAGCTGTCATTCTTGTCATCACACAGCCAATGTTTTCAGTCAGCTTGAATAAGTGAGTTACGGTGCTGGAATCCAATCACTTGTCAGGAACTTTTTTCTGTGTGACAATTACTGCACAGTCTTTCCCTCTCACAGCTACTGATATAAGGCCACCCTGGTTAATAGCCTTGAAAGCATATTCTACTTGGTAGAGCTGGCCCTCGGGTGAAAAAATGGTAATGTGGCAGTCAAAAAGCAGCGCTGGAACCATGGGACACATTGGTGCACCCACTACTTCCAAGTACAATCTCTCAAGAACGGTTATTTGGGATGGCTGTGTTAAGGAATCAGTAAGAGCTTAGAAAAGATCTTGTGCAGCAGTGAATGTAGTTGTGGGATGAGAGACCATATTCAAACAGCTAAGCCCCTTGGTAGACTGACTAAGCTTCTGGGTATCACTGGCAAAAAAAGAAAATGATAAGGTTTGGCAATGAAAATCACTTAGGGCCATGATGACGGGTTTAGAAACCTGGGAGGGTGGGAAAGGCAAGAAATCATAAAAAACAAGAATAGATTGACTAGGAGTGGCAGAGCAGAAAAACAGGAAGCTTTGGTAAAGGGAAACTTTAGAGTTTGAGGTTTTAGAATTAAGTCGTTTCTCATTTTGGTGAGGTCTAAAATGGGGCCGCCAAATCATGTGACTGGGGTGACGTGGTGTTTGAAGTTGGTACAGGAATAAAGATCAAGACAGTTTGCAGCCAGGGAATTTAGAGAGACACTAGCCTGGAAGCCGTCTGATTGCATCTTCCCAGTTGCCACCATACTTGGCATAGCCTTTACACTGAGAGGGTTGAATCACTGTTGACTTGAGAAGCACACAGAGAAATAAAACAATCACAGTGAGGTAACATCACCCCAGAAATGTTTCTTGGATTACTGAGCTTGAATCTTGGTCAAGGAGAGGCAATATATGAGTGAGCAAGGGGTCATCTCTTGCCATTCCTAGCCAGGTATGGGTGCTCTTAAGCTGATTGTCCAAACCCATTGATGATGGATGTGAAAAGAGTGATGTCTTGAGAACTCAGTTGAAGATATAATGTAGGCAGTACCAAGAGCGCATTTGTTTGTTTGTTTGTTTGTTTTTTCCTCTCTGTCCAATCTGGCAGAGAGATTGTCAAGACTGATTTTAGTTTCAATACTGATTAATGACTCAGTAACATAAACAAAAACAAGTACTTGATAACCTCTAACTCTCTTCTCCTTCCTCTTATCTTCTAAGTATCCTCTATTTATCTAGCTTGCTATGGCTTCCCATAGACAAGGCATTTCCCAACATCTGGGATCCAGCCTGCCAGCTGTCTCCAGGGAACTTTCATGGGCCAAAAGTGCCTGCCTTCAAACATAGCTGCTGGTTCTTGAAACAGTCTTGCCAACAAATTGCTACTTTTAAGATCAAGTTCAGGGAAGTTGTTCTTTTTCTAAATCACATGAGCTTTGGATCACTTTCAGGTCTATTTTAAGGGACAACTCAGTGTTGCAATGCATGAGTCAATTGGATCCATGATTCCATAGGTTCTGTGCGTGCCAGTGTTCCTGGTCTCCAAAAAGCGTTTTAAAGAAAGGCTTAGTGTGACTCTCTCAGCAGGGGAAGACCACAGCATTGTGGCTTCCCAGAAGAGGCTCTCCTCCTCCCATCAGTCCAAGATGAAAGGATCTGAGTTTCTTCAAAGAATAGACAATAGGCACTATGTGTAGAGGGCTACAGATGTTCAACAGATGTGGTTGGGCTACTAAATTTTAGGTTTTACCATGACAGTTCATAGACCTACTCTAAGACTGAGAATAGATTTCAAAGAACACATTTCCCCTTTTATCCCAAATCTAACAAAATAAATAAATAAATTTTATTTTCCATGATCTAAAACAGCTATTTTGAAAAATAGACAAGATCAGTTTTAAGCAAAAGTGTAAAATCTTAGGGTCTGGATGGTGGCATGGCAATAAATGTCAATGCTTTGCAAAGTAGATCCACAGGGGATGGATGGTTCTGGGTTCATGTTCAGAGATCTCTGTGAGTACTCCAGGCACCCCGTGCCCATGATCTGGGCATGACTGAAGCTGGGGGCTAAGACCGTGGAGGTGCTGTCTCTGCTTATCTTTCTGTCTCTCTCACTCATAAAAGTATGAAGTTAAAAAAAGAATTATTTATTTATTTTTATTTATGATTATCATTTTTAATTTTTCTGTAGGGCACGTGTGCTCATTAGAGAGAGATGCAGATGGGGGGGGGGTTCAGTGAGAAATAAAAGCACCAGGTCAAGGATTTGAACCTCAGTTGAAAAAGTGAAAGTCCAGTGCCTTAACCACCATGCCACCACCTTCTGGCTCTCCCCCCCCCAAAAAAAAATTTTTTTTAAGTATATAAAATCCTGTAACTTTTTCCTCTGTTCCTTCACCATCTCCCACTTTAAGCCCCTCTCATTCTGGTTCTGGGTTCCTTGTTCTTCCTGTCACACTTGCTTCTGCTTTGTCCTGTGGCTGGAGGCAGAAGCTTGAATCTTGGCCCTAGCAATAACTGGTTATGATCTGGTGAGCAGCCAAAGCTGAGAACTACCACTTCAGAGTATTTCGCTATGGCCTCTGAGTCAGTCTCCAAAGCTGTTCCAGTTTCTCCAGTCTCTGGAATTGTCTCATTGACATTGACAATTGCTATATGAACCATCAAAAATTAAAAATTACAACAATTTAAAGATATTAATTGGCCTTAGTTATGATTCTGGAATTGAGCAATGTGTCATCCCATTAAATAGTATAGGTGTTTCAATGAACTGAGCAGAGAAGTTTCACAGACAAGGGCTGAAGAAAGCAAATATGAAAGAATAACAGATTTGTCACATGGAACTTTTCTCCCCCAATAGTGACAAGGAGACAGAAAAATAGAAAAATAATTGACTAGTTATCAGGTTAGTTCTTCTGCATAATGGTCAAAACAGATGGGACCTCATTATCATACTTATTGAAACTAGTCTGTTTAGGAACTCCTCACTTAATGACCAAATACCATTCTTATGACTGGGTCATTAAGTAAATGGGTTGATAAACGAGGAGCTTAAAGATGAATGTGCTACAGTGTGTCATGGCACCACAGGGCATGTATATTTCAACAGACATCATGCAATACTATACTAGACTAATGTAATCCTGTTCACACAAAAAACATACATTAGATAAATGTGAGAAAGTGACAGACACGCCATAACACAATCATATAAATCTGGCATAATCATTTTTATTTATTCCGAATACTACTATAGGTACACGATAAAGTACAAATTTATAAATGGAATATGCAGTCATCATGACTGTGAAAACTTCATGTAGTGAATACTAATCCACTGTGGGAAAGAGTCAAAAGCTGACAAAGGGGAGTTCCATTGCTGGAGAACTGGTCCCAAGTCTCCGCTGTAGTTCGTTGAGTGAGGAGTGACTATAATGAGACCAATAGGTTCCACTCCCACTATACTATTGAAACTATGCTGGGAAGACCACACCTTCCCTCCTTCTTGCCACATTCAAGGTCCTTTCATTCATATTTTTTCCTGTTTGATTTCCATGCCGTGTTCACCAAGCACCTCTGAATAGTTCGAGCTTTGAGAATCAGGATAAAGAATTTGGATGTCATTGGGTCATTTAATGAGAAACAAACCAATAAGCATTCTTCAGCAAGCCATGACATGATAGGATCTGTGCTTTAGGAAGGTCCACCTGCAGGTTAAGGAGGAAGGGTTGTTGAATCATAGAGAGTCTAAAGGCAAAAAGACAAAGGAGAAGACTGTGACAGTGGGCCAGCTCAACAGTGCCATCAGTAATGCATCGCTCAGGCAAAGGTGTATCCATATGGAAGATCATGGGTTTGGCTCTCAGTTTGCCCCTGCATGCTAAACGTGTATGCTCACAATCCTAACTTGCTGAGAAAGCTCACTGGGGAAGGGATGAGGCAGGAATCATAGCATAATACCACACCTCTTTCTTTTCCTCAAGAAATAAACTTTAAAAAGAAGAAACAAAAAAGAAGATGCTTATGCCATATCACAAACAATTGGGTTAAAATTTCCTGACTGAGAATGGAGATGGCATCAAAGGAGACTTCACTGATTCTATTGAATCAAGTATTCAGTATTCTCCTTCAACCATG